GGGCCTCGGCGGGACGGGTGGGTGTGAGGGGAGCTGGCCGCTGCCGCTCTTCCCCACGCAGGAGGCCAGGCGTGCCTCTAAATTCACGCCGGTGAGTTTTAAGGTAGCGTCTCGCTGCCCTCACGGACTTCGTAACTTCTAAATGGCTCGTCTGGCAACCGGCGCAGCCGTGGCTGCGGTTTCCAGTCTTGGTGTTTATCGGGTGTGTTTTACAAGGCCTTGCTCATTCCCGCGTTCGATTTCGTATACGTCTATAACGTAAATATTGTAATGTTGGCACCAAAGCAATGATTTTCAAAAGGAAAGTTAAGACGGTCTCACTAAAAGTACGTAAGCTTGTGAGTCTGCTTAGTGTATTTGCTATAGCTTCACCCTAGGGGAGAAGTGTAGAGCAGGTGGCCTTGGCGTGTCGTTTTTTGTTTGGTTGTTTTCTGGGTTTTTTTTAAAGGAATAGGTGAAGTATGAAACTTTTGGTGGAATCGTGAAGTCGGGGGGTGGGTGGTGGTGGTATTTGGAACAGGCCATCTCCTGGGCATGTAAACAGCAGTTCTTGCTTCCTGGTGTATTTTTTATTCCTGAAGCAGCGAAGCACTCTTTCATCTCTTCAGTTTCAGAATCTCCTCACCCTCTGTGAAGAGGACAGCTTTTTAAATATCTATGGATTTCAAAATATTCTTTTGCAATATATTTTAAAATATTTGGGGAACATACTACTTCCTATATTCTTTTGTGTTTTCTGTACGACTTTTCTTAGCAGATTATACTGATCTCAGGAAAATTAGCATGGGGCTTGGGAGAGGGGAGAACTGCAGGAAAGACTTCGGAGGACTGTGGACATCTGCATGACCCATGTTCCCTTAGTGTCCACCCTACACACAGAATTAGGCCCTCCTCTGTGCACCCAGTCCCATCGTCCCCCTCGCAAGAGCAGCTTCCCAATACTATAAGCCAGCTCCAGCTTAAAACACCTTCAGAATTTTAGCCAAAAGCTTCCTGAGGTGTGGAGTGGGGGAGAAAGTGCCAGCTATCAGCAAAGCCTATCATTAGAGCTTGGTTTTGCATTTGGTCACACTTGGTATGTCTTCACACTTTCAACAATATCCACTGGGTGTCCAGGTTGCAGGTTGTGCTACTGTGCAGCCAGATATCAGGCTTGGATATTTGATTTTCAGTTGAGATGCTGGGACGCATCATTTGCTGAAGAATGAAGGACGATTGTTGTCTTCCTACGTACAGCTGATTGGGTTCTTCTCTTTTCGTTAACAAAGAACATGGAAGCTAAATGCCATGAATTACATCTTAGTGGTGCAGAGTGTCAGTCCCTTCAGTGTTAGGTTAGGCCCTGTCAACCATACTGAACTTTTTGTCCAAACTGCTATTTAAATTGGCTTGGTCCCCCTTTCTTCCAGGTTGCAAGACTACTTTTAACTTTCATGTTCAGAAAGGTGGACAGCGTTGGGACTGCTGCAGCACGACAGAGTGCTGCACTGGTGTTGTCCCATAAGGGAAGAGGAGCAGAGAGAAAAATATGTCACACCACAGAGTTCATAGGCCAGAAGATGCTGAATACAGCAGATTACTTTGTCTGAAAGAGATTGAATGCCATGTCCTTAAACTATGGAATTGTATTTCATAGCTTGAAGAGGTCATTTTATATTTATTTTTAAATATGAAGATGAGAAATGCTGAATATTAAGGAAGGATGCCAGAGATGGTCCACCTCAAAAATGTTTTTGAGGGTGATAAAGAAAGTGCTGGCATTCTTTAGACTGGACAAGCTACATTCAGCCTATTTCATATTAATGAAATCAGGCTAGGTTTTAAAATATTTACTCAGCAGTCATTAAACCATGCATTAATTTTCTTTATTGCAGTGAATAATAACTATTACTTTGTGGTTTTTTTCCAGGTAGCAATTCATTTTGACAGTTTGCTAGCTATTTGGTTCCTGTTCTGCTCTACTCTTTTTTCTTACAACCAGTCATAATATGTTCTGTGCTACTTCCATTTTTCTTATTATTTCCATCTTTCCCCATACCATGTTCTCTTGCTCCTCCACTGTGTTCTTTTTCTTTTAGTGTTTTGATCCTATGCTGCTGTGCATCCATTTTCGTGTCATTACATCCATGCAAATTTGAAAGTCAGCAGTATGTTGGATAATCAAAATATGCAACCTACTATTAACAGGCAACTTGGGAAAAAAAAAAAAAGAAAAGAAAAAAAGAAAGCATTTGATCATTCAAGAATAGCTGCATTCCTCCTAGGAGGTTCAATGCATGTTTGAAAAGCAAATTTATAGTGATGACCTCCTGTTTGGAGCTAGCTTCTGCTGGCCTTTTCTAATAGACCACCACTGGCTTGTCATGTTGGAAACTCAAGGCGATCCTCTAGTGCTGGAAGGCTGCTCAAGCTTCTCTCAGACAGCATTTATTGTTCCTCTTCCAGTGTCAAGCCTTTGCAGAGGGGAGGATCTCGCTGACCACAACAGTAACTTAATAGCTGCTTATTTCAGTCTGGTGATAGAAAGTGCCTGGTGTTCTTTCTGTTGCTGTAACAAAATTCTTTAGGTATCTTTTTTTCTTATTACCTTGTCAGAAAAGTTTGCAGTTAGTCTTTTAGCTGATTGCAAAAGGTAACAATTTTTTTTTTGTTCCTCGTAGAACATTGTGTATTAAAAAAAAAGAAATAAAAAAAATAAAAACCATATCCCCCCCCGAAAACCCCCAAAAAACCCACATCTAGTTTTCTGGTTATCTTGACATCTTTTTAAATTACGGCTTATGTGCCAGCATATAATAGTTTACCTAAAGAAACTGTTAATAATCTTGGCTTTCTTCAGATATCTCAATCAATGGTAGCAGTTTTGGAAGATATATGGGTTGTTCTGGGGATTATTGGTTTCTTTAGCTTGCTTTATACATGGACAGGTGAGAAGTCTAAAATTACTGGCATGTAAGGAGACAATGTTTTCTCTGTATCTCTCCCTTAACTCTTCCTTTAACTGTCGCTTTCCCTACCTCTTTTGTGGCTTAGGTTGCAAAGGGCTGGCAAGGTAAAAATAACTTCAAATACAAGATTAAAATCTCAGGAGAGAGCATCAGGAGTGGCATAACATTTAGCACCCGGAACATCACTTAAAATCCTCTGAAATCAGCTTGCGTGATCACCACAGTTTCCTCTGTGTATGCATGGGTTATACTGACAGATCAACTGAACTTTCATCCATTTCGGATAATTGTTTGTTACAGGCTTTATCTGTCAAGAAGCATATTTTGACAGCAGATATTTCCTGAAGGTCCAAATCTGTGCATCCATTGCAGTAGGATGTGTATGTAATGTCACTTTTTTTGATTGATTTTAGTATTGCAGGATGGAAAATTTCACAAGACAATTGCATTAATTCTGTTAAGTATTTGCTTGGCTTTGCGTAAAGCCTCTGACTTATGTTGCCTAATTAGTCATATGATATCCTCCCGTCCCCTCCTTGTTTAGAACCTTCCTCATTTTGAAAATTAAATGGGCCTCTTATGTTTGACCTTTTGTTCCAGCTATGCAAAGGCTGTAACTGCACTGCAGTGAAATCTAGGAAGGACATAGCTACTGGTCCTATACCTTCATCTCGCATGTAGAAAAACCAAAATTCATCTCATGCTTTCTCCCAGCTACTGGAAACAATACAAAAAGAAAACACATGATAACACACAGAAACTAATCCCACTTTAAAGTTCTTGTTTCCAGTTGTAACAAGTTATGCCAGTGTTTAAACTCCGTGGCATTGTCTAAGACATTGTGTTTTCTAGATTAATGCATTAAAAGCAGATAATGTGATTAGCCCAAAGAAAACATGGACATTAGTTGGCTTGTTTGTCCCACATACATAGCTGCTAGAGATCCTGTCTCAGTTTTTACTGGAGCCAGAATGCATTATAAGGACACACTAGTAAAGTAATCTAATTAGTAGAGCCAAATAAATACTGGAAGTTGAGGGTGGGGATGGGGAGAAGTGGTGGCAGGATCCTTACTATTTTTGTTTCTGTTCTGTCTCCCAAACACTTGTGCTTTGGGAGCCTTTGTATGGACTCCTGGAATAGCATGTGTACCTTTCCTGTTCCCTAGTGGGACATACTGTGCTCTTAGGAGCTTACTGATCTGCTCAGATAGCTCAGGGACCAAATCTGGTCTGCTCTCAACTGGCTTGAAGCACAAGTGCGGCTAGTAGGCATTTGCTTGTATTTCACTGGGTGAAACATGCAATTATAATTGTGGCATATATATGCATATGTTTCTATATGTATATGCATGCTTTATGTAATTGATAGGAAAACACCCTTGCGTTCATTCTGAGTATGCCTAAATATAGTTCTCAAACTTTCATTTGTAACTAGCCATGCTTACAGGAATGAAGGTAACTCGTTTTAAGTTATATTCCTGAAATGCGCCTCTCATCATATTTAGCACCAGTTCAGCGACACTTTTCCACACTAAATAAAAAGTCATGCCATATAGCTCATTCCTCCAGCTGAGTAATTTGTCCAAAGTTCAGTGTGCTTTCTCTGCCCCAGCTATACAATGAAGCTTAACGCTAAGCGTAATTATGAATGATGCTATAAAATGAGATCATGAATTGAACGAACGGAACAAACTGGTCCATACTGACATTTAAGGTTTCTGAACTTGTCTAAAGAGTATGCTTTTGAAGTGCTCCTCATTGAATCACACTAAGTAAAAATGGGTTTGTATATTTGTCATAAACTTGTGCTTGCCTTGTCTGAAGGTCTGTCAGACAGCACAGGGAAGTTGCTGTTTGTCCCCTACTTCTTGTATTCTCCTCTGCACCCTTTCCAAAGTCCCAAGACCTTCTCTTCATTTATTATCAAATCATCATGAATTGAATTAGCTGACTAGTCCTGAAGGTTTAATTCAAAACTAAGTCTGCTAGAATAATAAAGTGTTTTAACAAAAAGTAAAAGCTAAAAAGTAATGTTTCACTGTCTTTACAGTATGGAGAAGAGTGCAGGAGTAAAACATACCCTCCTTCAGGACCAACGTAAGTAATCTGATTCAACTTGTCTAAGAAATTACAGAAAAATAGTGATTTGTAAGTCTGAAAACAGGGGGTTTTTGTAACTTTTCCTGTTGCAGGCCTAGAAAATGCTAGTTACGGATGGGAAGCACCTATTTTGTCAACTGTTTGTTCAAAGCTGCCTTTAAATTTGAACTCTGTTACTTATCTTTCAGGTTCAAAGGGAATGTACCCACGTATGTCATAAATCTTGATTTACCTCCCAGCAAAAGATGGGATGACTTGATGCATGACAAAAAGACAGAGGTATGAAATGCAGAGCTTGCTTTGAAGCTCAGCAGGTATAAAACTAGCATGTGGCCTTTTATTTTTGGAAAGGAATACCTGTGCTAAAATTCTCTGACAGGGATAATATTTCTAGCTTACTTTTTTTAATATGATTTTAGACTAGAATAATTGCTTGAGTAAAACTTTTTCTGTTCAACACTTGAGCTAGCTGCATCAAGTATAGGGGCACTGATGTTTGGGATGCAGAGGAATAAAAAATCGTGCGGCATAGAGCAGGCTTTCATTTATCAAAGCTCTTTAGTCATGAAGTAATACAGAATGAAGAGGGAGGAGTACACCAAAGGGACAGACTCAGTAAACTGAAGTGAAACTGAGGCAGTATCCCTTCCCCTCTGCACATCCCTGTTTCTCTCAAAACATTGCATGAGATGATTAAATAGCAAGGGGGAAATGAAGAACTTCCTGCCCTTTTCAGGGATGCTGGTTGCAGCACTGGTGTTTACCCACCAGAAATAATTTTGTAAATACTCAAGCCTATTTCACAGTACTTAGAGCAGCTATTCTTCTGAAGGTTGCCGTAAATTCAATTCAGTAATGTTTTATTTCTCAAAAAATGCCAGGGATTTTTGCTATATACTTGCTGACTTTGACCTTTCAGCTCTCAAAGCCAGACAAATTCTGCTTACACCGTAATATTTAAAGTCTCATTTAAGCCAGTGGGCACTGGAAGCCTCAGGTTGCACCTTAAATTCTGAAAGGTTTTCCTCTCTCATGTACTTTGGAGTTAGATCCCATAGAGTGGAACTCCATTTGTGGCCATTCATGTTGCAAATGGATAGCATGTACTTTTATAAGAAATTTATTGAGTCTTCTTGGCTTCAAGAACATCACTGCTTAAGCAAAGAGCTTTTAATTAATGTTTTTAAAGACAGAAGAGTGTGGAGTATTAAAATGTGATCAAAGGAGCAGAAGAAGAGGATGGCTTTTTCTTGTAATTCATTTTCTCTGGTAGAGGGACATGTTGGAGCTAATCTAGAAAGTTACTTGAATAAAGCTTGAAGAGAGACTCTTTGATGGGGAATTGGGGCTGTTTTTCTCACCAAGAACACTACATTCAGCACTTTCTTTAAATACTTTTTTTTCAACAAAATGGTTTTTTTTGAAAAGTATGTGAGGAATTCTGTTAGTATTCTAGCAATTCTTATGCTCAAGATCTACTATTCAATAACAACCCTTGTTCTTTTTAGCTGAAGACTGTGGTCCAGAATATTAAAGATATAGCAAATACCTTCTTCCCCAGCGGCAAAGTTGTTGACATAGTGGATAACAAAATAGTAAGTATTTTCAGCCTAATTATTTTATTACTGTATGCTCTGACTACTAGAATTAGAATGCTACTAAATTTGGCAATTAAGAACTTGACAAGTGATGATTCTTCCACTTCCAGAACAAATAACGCTGTTTTGAAGAGTTACTCGGAAATTTTACCTTTTGTGTGAAATTTTGCCGCTTTGCCTACTCTGAATTACTCTGAAACCATCAAACCTAAAGTGCATGTGTCTCTTCCTCCGCTTTATTTTTTCCAAGATCTTTTCAAATTTGGATTACTCATGCTAGACATACATGCTACTGACTTAGTCACTGTAGCAAAACACTGAAATTCTCTTTGCCATGTTCAACTCCTTTTAAACAGTAGAATAAAATCAGATTTTGAAAACTGTAATAAATGTCTGATTACAGGGGCAACTTTGACCAGGCCTCATCTTAAAAAAATAATTTGGTTCTGATTAAAATAGGCTTTGGCATAGAATCAGGGCAGGGGAAAACAGTGTAGCACTAGAGACAGCATAAGGTCAAGTCTGTCCCCCATCTTTGTTTACAGCAGCCGTCAGTCATGCTGGCCACACTTCACTTGTGTCCCTGTGTGCCTGAGTGGAGTTGCCATAAAGGTAACATATAGAGGTAGTCATACCAATGTGTGAAAGTTAGGGATTCCCTTAAACACTGATGTCAAGATCAGTTCCAGTTGAGCTCTTAACATATGAGAGTCCTATTTCATTCTCTTCTGTCTATTGCTGCTAACAATAATTAAGATACTGTGCTAATAATCTCCATGGCTCACATGTCAGTATTTTGATAAGTAATAGTTTTTACTTTCCCTAAGTACGTACTTGTCTTCCAACTACTCTACAAACATCCTCAGGTTCTACAGGCTGCAAAGGAATTAAATACTCAATTGAATAGTTGTGAGAAGGATGTACCTGTTGGGGAGATGTTTGTTTTAAGTGACAAAATAGTGTTAATTTACGCAAACAACGTACAAAACCTTTCCTTTCAGGCTCGTCTGACTGCCACGCTTCCTTATCCTTTCAATGAAGAACTCCAAGGGATTGCAAATTCATCTGGGATTCCTTTGGGTAAGTTTCTAACACTTTATTAACGTAGTGGAAAACTAGGAATCCAGACTCGCTTAAAATTAGTATATGTACCAATTTGCAGTATAGTTGTAGTCATCTGTGACTTTACTTAATTAATAATTTATTTGTTAGATAAAACAAAAAATTGCATCTCACACTAAATGAAAACAGTATTTTAGAGGAGAGTGGCAATAAATCACATAAGCCTTTCATCAGGCTGGGACTTCCCTGTAGAGCTGTAGCTTCTTGCTCCTGAGTTTTGGGAACTGGAGCGAGCCTCGGCTCCTGTGCACCAAAATTTGGGGGAATCCTTGATTCTCATTGGTTTCCTATTCAGCTGTATGTCTTCTGTTGACATACCAAGAAGGCAACGCTCAGTTTCATGCTGTGTTTTCTTTCCCTTGTGATCATTGCCACATCCTCATGCCTGCCTTCTGCACCTACTGCAAAAGAATGCAATTCCAGGTGAGAAGTAGACACTGAATTCTTCCAGAATTGAGACAGAGAAGGTCCATAGACCTGCTTCCACTGCTTTGCTCATACAGGAGCAGTACACTTGGTGCTAGTCAGCAGCTCTTATATGGGAATAGTGGTACATATAGCAGCTTTCTTCTTTACAGTGAATTTCACAGCTTGTTTTGAAGTTTCCAGAGGAGGAAGTAGCAATGACTGTCAGCTTTCTGTATGGAAAGGCAGAAGGCCAAGGGATTCTGATCCTTCTATTTGCCTTTCAGGAAGCTCTTGATTTTGCTGAAGCAGTCATTTCAAAGATCAAATGAGATTTAAAGAGAAATTCTTGAGAGAAGTATTATAGAACGCTGAACTTTGCAGTATGCTTTTTTCAAACCATATTTTTCTGTTCATGGAAGAAGTTTCAAACTATTGAACTTTGTTTCTTTTGTTCTAGGGGAAATTGTTATTTTTAACATCTTCTATGAAATTTTCACTGTATGTACATCCATAGTGGCGGAAGATAAAACAGGTAATACAACCCAGAATAGTGTTAACAGTTTTCTCTTATGTAGGAGAGGGTCCACCTCAATTGTACAAACATAGTCCTTCTGAACTGCAGGCAAGAAGGTCTAGTAGGAGGGACTAAAAACAATGATAATAAAAAGGTATTCCTTGAGAAGGGAATAAGAGATCACAGGTGTCTTAGGCAAAAAAAAGGGAAAAAATACTTTCAAAAATGATTTGGTTTTGATTTTGTTGGGGGGTTTTGCAGGGTTTTTGTTGTTTTGTGGGTTTTTTTTAATAGGTGCCATTTGTTTTTCTAGGGGAAAGAAATGCAAGCCAGACGTGATATTTTCTCAGTGCCATGAGGGATTCTAGTGCAATCCATTTTGCATCTAGTTTCTATCTATCACATATGTATGGTGCTAGAAAAAATGGATAGTCTGCTTTAAGAAAAGAGACTCTCTCATTCTCTTACTCAGTTCTGCAGCCCTTGTCTGCACCTGTTCCAGCTTAGGAAGTTTCTGAGGGATTCTCGGAGGGCTTACAAACGTCTCACTTTTAGAGAAAGCTCAGGTATTACCATTACATTAAGACAATGTGGAAAGCATCCGAGGTTGAGATGAACAGCAGTTTACAAGATTACTTGATTTCAATCACGGCGAAACACTTCTCTGATCCAAAAACCCCCACCATTTTTCTGTGCTTATGAAAAGGGCAACTAGACAATGGTATTTTCCCTGCTTGCTTTCCCAGGTATTTTTCCTGCTTATTCATTTCCTGGTTTTCTAAGCTGAAATTTATGTCTCTTTCTTCAGAAAAATGTATTTATTTATTTATTGATTGATTGATTGTTATGTAGGGAAGCTGTACCATGCCAGAAACTTGGATTTTGGACTCTTTCTTGGGTAAGTACCTAAACTTGTGGGTTTTTTTTTTTTTAAACCCAAAGAAAAAGCTAGCTAAACTTGGAATTACTATGTGCATTCTTTGAGTCTAAATGATGAATCAGGTATTGCTAAGACTGTGACAAGTAATTCTGCATTGCATGTTGTGGAAAAAAGGCTAAAACAAATAAAAGGATTGTTCTGCTGATCTTATGTCAAACTACTCCAAGCATGTTGGGAATTACTTTGAGAAACAGTTGTGTTCAGTGTTACTTAGCATTTTCTCAGCTCCAGTTAAAACTGTCTCGATCCAAAGAACAGTCCATGTAACCTTATCTCTGAGGCGCAGTATATCTTGTTCTTTATGTGATGGGACAGAAGCATCAATTTTGGTGTATGCAGTGAAATGTGGATTGGGGCTTGTTTTTGTGGTTGGTTTTTTTTCCAAGTTATCCCCCTAGTTACTGTACTGTGCTCTACTGGCACTTCCCATCATTCATCATTTCTACTTAGAAGCCAGTGATTTGTATTCCACTTATCTAACATTATCATTCATTTGGATACAAACTGTGTAGTTTGTTGCCCAGCACTGGATTCTCTTTTAGTTCTCATTTCATACCTCATGATCAGGTAGTTCAGTGTTTGCTTTTATTATCCCAGTATATTTTGTAATGTAACTCTTCCAGATGACTCTCAATGCCCCGATGGAATTTAAATGTCCGTCTTCATTAAAATTCTTACCTGCCTATCAAAAAATCAACTGTGACTCCACCTGTCCCTTGGTTGGCTTGTGTTGAACTTCTCCCACTTGTCAGAACTACTGGGAACATGCTCCCTGAAAAGTAAGGCAATTTTGAAAGCTGTTCCTGGAATCTGGATCGTTTCCAGAGAATTTAATGGTCTACTAAGTGTTCTTTAGCACCCTCTTGCCTACAAGCTGTTCTGGCTTATTTTACAAACTAGATTTGGGTCTTTGTGCAGAGCACATCCAGTAGTATGTGGTTTGTTTTCTCCCTTTGAAAAGTAAGAACTTGAGGGAACTGGCTCATTCTGCTGCAGAACAAGCTACACATGCTTTCAGGACACGGTAGGTTCGGTGTCACAGGCAGTACCCGTAGAGGCCTCCCTTTGCCAGCAGGAATAGAACAAAGTTATGTGTGTTCAAAACCAACCAGCTGTAATGGTGGTGCTGTTTAATACCGAGTAGTGTATATGGTATTGGTTTGAACAAAACAGTTCTTTTTACTGACTGCCTATCCTTTTAGAGTTCCTTGTTGTCTCCTGCTGGTGCAGCTGAGGTAACTAGTGAGCAGTGGTGATGGCTGACACGAGTAAAATCAGAGGATAGGCATCACACACAGGAAATCTGTGTGCTGTGAAGGGAAGTTTTAAAAGCTGCTGAGGGAGGGAAGTTTCAAATGCTGTACTGTCTTCTGCAGGTGGGATGTTAAAAATAATTCCTGGACTTTAACTCGGGAACTGAAGCCTTTAGTGGTAAACTTGGACTTCCAGAGAAACAACAAAACAGTATTCAAGTCTACAAATTTTGCTGGATACATAGGCATGGTGTCTGGAGTCAAACCAGTAAGCATGGGCAGGGGGGCTTGTCAATTTGTTAATAATGCTTCATACTTTCTTTTTTTCTGCTTTCATCCTCTGCCTTGGGATGTTTTTTAATAGATGATCTCTTAATTGTTCTGGTACACAGTATAGCTATTTGAATAAAGGTAAAAAAACAACGCTGCACTCTTCCTTATAAAAGGAGATTGCCTAAATAAAATATTTATATTTGGACAATTCTTAAAAACAATGTTCAGTTCTGAATACGAACAGAAGTGAATACAAAGTGCTCAAGTGGTTGGAGTTTCTTTCTAGCAAATAGATACTGCTGTGATCCCAGAGGTGAAATGGCGTGCTTGTGCTGTTTTAATTCTTTGTCCAATCCTTCTTGGAAAAGGAGTCCTATGTTGCAAGATTTTTTATTTTTTTTTTTTTAATAGACACCTGAAGTCTAGGTTTTATCTACATCTTAAAAAACAGCAGTACAGAACCATACCAGGGTCTCCATCTTACCACAACTCCTCCTTTTCTACATACTCTGCCTTTATCCTCTATTATAGGTGGTCCTTCTCATAGTAGACTATTTCTGGCATAAATCCCTGCATTGTATCAATTTATTTATGTCTTCCGGTCAAATAAATTGGGAAGAGTCCATTCTGAAAATGATCCAGTTTAGCTGAATTCCACTTTCCTCTGAAAGAAACACTAGTTGGAGAAGACTAGGACTTGAGTCTGAATTGTGTGTTGCAAGTAGCACGGATTGAATTGTGTACAGCTGCATGCTCATGTGAACAGCAATACCATATCAGGGTGTACTTAGCACTGGGACTTAAAAATTTGCCTTTAAACTAGAATAGTATTCAGAGGTCTGAGAAGAACGTTACACACAGCAGGAGAGGGAAAACTGGTAATTCAGTGATGCAACAAGGACCAAGGAAAAATGGCCATAGGCTTGACTTGCTTAGCATAAAAGCATGGTTTGTTGGATTGCTATGCCAGGTCAGAAAACTATGAATTATCATTTCTACTTATTCAAGCAGTGATAAATTAGGTTCTTCTCTGCATGGGCTTGATCTTGCAGCCTATTACTCAAAGGGGAAGAGTCTAACAAACAAGAAGCTCAATTGGCATGTGAATTGCAATGCTGCCTCTTGTTTGTTACTGGTATTAATGGGCTGGGGATGGATGAAGGTTGACTTGTTTAATGCTTTTCAGGACTTGTTCACGCTGACAATGAATGAGCGTTTCAGTCTTGATGGTGGTTATGTTGGTGAGTAATGCTCATTTCTTTCATTATTTCTGTACAAGTTTTCCAGACCTTGGGCACACCAGTTACCTTAATAAACAGGCACACAACTGGTGAAGAGATTCCAGATGAGTAAGATAAAACACAGTTCGTTTTAAAGGCTACGAAAGTTAGATGAGTGAACCTTCTGAAAACATTGTAACCAGCGATATTTTGCAGGAATCTTCGAATGGTTTCTTGGTAGAAGAGACGGTATGTGGATGGGCTTTCTTACAAGAACAGTATTAGAGAATGCTACAAGGTATTCCCCGCCCCCCCA